ATGAACCCTGAATCTCAAGAACACATTTAGGTAATCAGGAGTTTGGTCAGGGAAGGTATTTAAGAGTTGAGTGGTCTGAAGTAGCTATTAAATATTTTTATAAAGTCCCATTAGTTGCCTCTTGCTCACATTTCACCTCTTTCTCAGCTAAGCTATCAGGAAATTAATGTCTCAAGTATAGATTTCCCCCTTCTGAAGACAGCTGTCTTTGTTGAAGTAACTCCTCCTTAGTGTCATACTTTTTTCATAAGGAAAAGTTAAGGGATTAATGTGCAAGGTGATAAACTCTCAGCTGCTTGTGATAGAGAGGGAAAGTGTTTCAATGTTTTTACTTGTGGGCTGTCATTTGCATACGCATGCAAATTATGTACATGGATGTAAGAATATAATGCTGAATGTTTATTATATGCAATTTATGTACGTTCAGGCATGTAAGTGAAGAGGAAACTCTCCTCTAATAACTTAGGCTAACATTTCAAATTGCGTAGGCTAACATTTCAGATTGCTTTTTAATGCTAACAGTCTGTTTTGTATTGTTCTATTTCTGTTCATATCTAGTTAAGACCAGAGTACCATGCCTCAAATACATCTAGCAATTTTAATAAAATCAGGAGAAATATAGCATTTCAATAAATATTGTAGCAATCTTTTGCACCAGCTGTGCAGCCTTGATATAAATGCTGCAGTTGTTTTGACTAGAACTAATTTCACGTAACTTCCATCTATCCATAATTATAATAGAAGTTTGGTTTTGATTTATTTTCAGGTCATGCAGATATATACACCCACACCACTAATGACACGTCATTCAGATTGAGAATAGTTACGTTAAAGTGAGAATGTTCTGTCAGAAATAACACAAAGCCATAAATGTCAGTTATAAAGTTTTTTGCCCTCGCCCTCTCCCTCTCCCCTTTGTCATGCTATGACCATTCAATATTGTGATACTGGAGTTCTTCCCCCCATTTTTTTTTCAATTTATGACAAAATCACTTGCGTAGTGTATGTGTGTGGCCCAGCCAGGATCATGCCTTGGATCATGACTTTTTCCAAACCTCAGCTACTGCTCTTGGGGGAAAAATGTAAACATACAACCAATTTTACCCTGGTTTCTTTATTTAGCTCAGTGAATGTCGTACTTCTTGTTATAAGGCTTCAGTGTAACAAACTCTTTATTCAAAAGAAGTAGGAGGCAAGAAAATAGATTCTTCTAGACATGAGTTGTAAGTAATTAACACTTGTGCTCATTTTATTTACTTTCATTACCTTTTAGTCTTCAGAAAGAGACAGGGAAAAAAACATCTACTGTGTTAAACTAGAAGTATATGGAATCATTTTGGAGTAATACTTCTTATCAAGAAAATGCCAGGATTGTGAGTAGTGTAATCATCTACAATTTTCTGAGACTATCCTTACTAAAATTTAATGGAATTTAAATGGAATTCAAGACCAGATGACTTAGCTTGTTTGGCACAGTGTGATTGATAGGTATTTTTCCTTGAAATGGCCTGGCTTCCACTAGCATTATCCTGGGCTTTTTTATTTGTCTAGATGACAGTTTTGGATTGTACTGTTTTTTTCCTATGCCATTACAGGTTATGAGGAAACAGAGCAGAGTTTCCATAAGCTGGGGCACAGAGGATCAAGACCTTTTGCCTTATTTGGACTGGTGTTAAAATTCACCTGCCAACGATTTCCCACTCAGACTTTTTTTTTAATATGTATATTTGTCATGAGCTGTTAACACCGTTGGCCATAAGGGATGATCTAATTGCAACCTTTAAGTGTACTTAGGTGGGTTGGCAGTTAACAGAAAATATATCTAATTGCTCAACAGATTATTGTCAGTTTTCCCTGCCTAAACATGGATACCTCAAAGTGTTTTCCAGTATAAAGCATGAAATATATCAGTATAGGTCTAAGTGTCTACACCAGTAGACTGATTTTTTTTTTTTTTTAGAAAGCAGAAGTCTGTGCCAAAGAGGAGTGCCATTTCCTTCTTTTTCAGACAGACTTATTTCTGCAGGTTCTTCCAAACTGAATCATTATATATTTAACATTTTATTCAGGCAAAATGATCTACATCTCATTCACGAAGTTATTGTCTGTTATGTTGCCTGGAGAAAAGGCCCATATATATATATTTAAGAATATATGCTGACTATATGCAGAAATGAGGCTTGGTCTTCACACTCAGTGAATAATCCTAAACCATCTAAGCAAAATATGCTGCTGTAGATTCATCTTTATTAAAGACATTTAATTGTCTTTGCTAGTTGTTGGTACTCTGGAGAAGTCACGGAGTCCATAATGGTTTGTAGGGAGCTTTGTGTTGATGGGAATGTAGAGACAGCTGCAAGTTTGCTCTGTGAAGTAATTCCAACATCTTCCTGACTGGGATGGGGGAGAAGACCTAAGAATCTGGTGCTGCTGCCAATACTTAAAAAAAAAAAAAATTCTTACAGTTTTTACATTTGTTAATAACAAATGTCATCAGCTGTGATTCTATCAGCTCTTGGCACTATCAGCCAAAACCAGTATGTGGCACAGAAGGGAAGAAAACTGCCGTGACTGGGCTAGGTAATTGGGAAAGGGCAGAGTAACAGCAAGATGACAACTGGAGCCCATAATTCCTTCCCATTGCCTGCTGGGTCTTCTCTCATGCATTGGCCAGATGGTCCTTAAAGATCCACTCAAGCACAAACCTCCAAATTACTATTTCTGCTGCTGTTTTAACTGCACTTACTTGATTTGTGTAAGTTAAAGATAGTTAAAGACTATGCAATTTTCTAATTTTCTCCTTAATACCTAAATTGCCATCCAAGTTCTTCCCCAAGCTCTGCCTCTAGCTGGCACTTTTTTTTCTCTACTTTCACTTGTCCTGCTTTTGGCTCTTCCTGATGGCTTTCTCAGGCCATGGTGAATTTTAATATTAATAAGTAAAACTCTTTGACTTTGCAGTACTTATATTCTAGAAAGTAAGTATAGCCCCTTGATTGACTGCAGTTTTAAATACAAAGTTCCCTTTTTGTCTTTGTTTTGTTTGTTTTTTCTTTCTCCAATAATGTCAAAAGATCAATTGAAACATATTCATGATCAAAGCAGCATGTAGATATCAGGTTAAAACAAAGAATAAAAGCTAATCTAAAATATTGGTCGGGTGATGTTGTGATGATACGTGATTGTCATTGTGAACACAGGCATGAAAACAAAATGCAAGTTACTTAAAAATTGAAGTTCACCAGGAATTCAATTTACTCAAAAAGCATTATGAGTTAAGTAGCTTTCCTGAATTAATAATAAGGAAAGTCAGCTGATGTTCGTTTTCAAGATTCTAGCTTTAACTCTATTAATAAATTTTCATGTTACCTTCTTCTACAGCTATATCAACCTTTCCACTTCCTTGCTTTGTGTGTGTCAAAAAATAATTGATGCAAAAAATTATAACCATAAGCAATGTGTTTGTGAATTATAGTATAAATATGAAAGTGCTCACTTCTTTACTGTGTATCACGCTTTGCAGAGTATGCAGCATAAAAGTCTTCCCAGGTCAAAATTTAACAAATATAGAACCTATTTTACAGAGAATTTTTTTACTATTTAAGTGACTATCTGTCTAGGTAGACTTTTCAAGTTGAGATGGTAAGGACTCTAAAGTTTTTCTTAATGTTAAAATTGTAGTCTCGTTCTGCTGTGTGTTGGCAGCTTTGCATTTCTTATATGCAAGATAAAACTTCTTGTACCTAGAAGTCAAAATGTCTTATCACCTTCTCAAGGATTTTTGGTGTTATGTAATGCAAGTTGAAAACTAAATTTGACTTTTTAAGGGGCTGAGAACTTTGCTAGGCAGAACACTCATCAAAGCATTCACTGAGATGAAGTGGTTTTGACACAGCAAATTTTTGGAACAAATTGGCAGAAATGACCAGCAAAGTGCAAGAATCTTTATGTATGATTTGCAATCAATTTGACTTTGAAATTCATACATATCTTACGTTGGACTAAACATTGGGGTTGAAACCTTGCCCTACTGAGGACAGCCACATTTCAGTGGGACCAAGATTTCACCTCATGCATGTTTTATTTGTAGTAAAATGGAAAGTCATAAATAAGGTGACTCATGCCGTTGATGCATCTGTACTTTGGTCGACTCGAGACCCGCGTGAGCTGTAATATACTGGGGCTGGCCAGTCTGAAAAAACAACAGTGATGTTATTGAGCACCAGTCATTCCCTATGAATTGCAAATTGTCAAATGACGGACTCTGACTCTGTGAGAATTTATGGCAGTTGTCTCCTAGGCTGCTCCTCTAAAGGCATTTCCTCAGCGTTCACATCATGAAGAGCCTTCAGACAATTCAATAGTAAATCTCTGTGGACGCTGAACTGAGAGCAGTGTCGTGGCCTCGAGCACTGTGCCAAGAGCAGATGAGTTTATTAATGCTAGTGAAATATTCTCTATCTGTACGACAACTGATCCCCTGGATTGCCACTAAGTGCGAAATGAAACACCTCTTTGCCAAATATGAGAAACTGTGTACGTGCCAGGACAGCAACTAACCTGTTTATGCCTCCCATGCCAGCTACTTTGCATACGTTAGGTGGGAATGAGAAGTTTATTAAGTGTAAAGTGCACAGCACAATGAATAAGCAAACTAACAGGCTCTTCTGTTGCTGACCTAATTATTTTATTCACTCATTGATTAAAACATTTTTTCCTGAGGCAAAAATGGCTGTGAAGCTGATTTTGAAAATTACAAATAGGAAAAGAATTAAAACAAATGGATTGTTTTTTAACATCCGACCTTAACCATCTTAGAAAAATCTGTTTTCATAAACTACAAATGATGTAATGTTTCTGGCATTACTATTTAAAATAAAGCCATTGCTTTTACTTAAGACAAAGGTTAAAATTGCATTGCATTTCACACTTTTCATGTATAACAGTAATACAGTATGTAAAAGTGATAATTAATTGCTCCTCTTATTATGTCTCTCTAGAGATCTGAAGAATAACTTAATTAGCACAATTGAGCCTGGGGCTTTTCATGGACTTGCAGAACTGAAGCGCCTGTAAGTATTAATTCTATTTGAATTATCCTGAAAATTGCTTTTGTATCAACATTTCTCTCCTTTAGGAGCTCAAATATGCCACCAAGCAATAATAACATAAGGATACTGACTACAGAATAGAAAAACCATGCCCTGTACTTTCCGAACGTACAGGATCTTTTGCTTTTGTTTTATTTCTTTCTGGGCGGAAAGTTATTACTACATTTAAAATTATCTATTTGTCTCTAAATATCCTATAAAAAACATCTAGAAGACTTTAATGTATCTATGGTTAATAACCTAGCAGTCAATATATTCCTACAGAAATTAAGCGGAATATAACCTTAGTGGTTTCCTACATGAAAACAGCGTTTTATGTTATAATATACTAAGCTTTTTAGCTTTGTTAGTTCTCCTTTTATCATGGGCTTGATCTATGAATAAATAATAATTACTTAAGAAGAAAAGTAACACACTGAAGAATTTGTCTACTGTTCTCTATTAGATTCACTGATAGATTCACTAACAATTAGTCTCTTTTCTTTAAAGAATGACTTTCTAAAGAAACAAGACTTAGGCAATTTTCTGTCTGTTGGTCACCCTTGCATGGTGCTCTTTGGAGCAGTGGTCAGTGGGCATCACACTGCGTGGGCTTCCTCCTCCCATTTTGCAGGTTGCAACGTTTTCTAACACCAGCCAGATGCTTTTTGGGTGTATTTGAGTAGCAAACCCATGAGATGGTAAGGATGAGGTTGGAGAAGCAAACTCATTTTTTAATGCTGCTATAAAGGTAAGATTGAAAGTGCTCTCATCACCATCCCTGCAAGCGAGATGCTGAGCAGCGCAGTGTCCACGCGCTCCAATAACACAACCCTGACCTCTGCTGGGAAAACGCGGCAGCCCGTGGAGCCTGCGGAGCCGCCGGGATGAGCCCGAGCGGATAAACCCACGAGTCGTGGGCAAAACGGGGCAAGCAAAGGCTAGCCAAGCATGAATGGCAATGCTGAGATTTATTGTGCTAGGCTTCAAAAAAAAACATATCGTTACTGCAAACACGTATTGCTGGGAGCAATCTGGAGACGATGGATAGATTAGTTATTAGATTAATTATTAGATTGTCACACGTTTGGTATCAAGTGCTGTAGCTTCATAGCAAACAAGACAAGCTCTATCCTCCCTCCGGCTTCTGGGGTAGCAGAACAGCAACTAGTGTAAACTCACGCTGAACACTGCGTACAGCAGTTACATAAGAACATCCTTCACATTTGCTCCCTCTTTTTCTTTACTGTTAACGTGGTGTGGGCAACTGCAGAGATGTGGATGTGGTGGGTCTGGTGTCTAAACTGCACACTGTCAGCATCAACATAGGAATGGGATGGAGAACTGATTGTGATCATTTGTATTGGAATGGCAAGCCAAATTACTTCAAGGGTTTACTCAACATGTGTGAAGCTGATGAAACATGAAAATTTATGAAACATTGATGTTATAGCTGTAGTTTATTCGGCCGAGGAGGATTTTGTTCTCCCTACCATCAATTTTCCAATTGTAAGGTAAACATTTTAATCCTGATAAGAACCACCAGCTTTGTGCATTAGGAATTGAATTATATGTATTTACCGTGTTGGGAGATTCAGCAAGGTTGAATTATATTTATATACCATGCTGGAAGGTTCAGCAAGCTGTCTTTTCTGCTTACTAACATTTCTTCAGGAAACATCTTTTATAAGAAAGAGATTTCAGATGCTTTCATACCTCTTAGTATGAAAATAATACTCATTAAAATATACTTTAAGAAAATGCCTTTTTATAGCCTTTTGCTTTGTTAAAAAATGCAGCTTTACCATGTGTCACATTTTGAAAACTATGCTCTGGTTTTGGTGAGTTTAGATGAAATTTACTTTTGCTGGCCAAAGTACACCCCGCACAGTGAAGAACTGCCTAGTAAATACAGAAGTGAAGCATTATCCCATGAAGAATCAAGGATTCCTGTTACAATTTACCTCTTCTTTTGGGGAGGCAGGGAGAAAAATTATGTTCGTCTTAAAGCAACATTTTTAGTTTTTATAGAACAATGTTGCTTTCATCAGAAAAACGTAAAGATTAATTGTTAATATTAAATTATTGCACAATATTGCAATATTGTTATCCAGCCTCTTTTCTTCTGCTGTTGTCTACTTAATATTCCCGAGCGTTTAGGAAGTACTTCTCATGTTGTATTTCATTGTTCAGTTGTGCAACAGCATCCTTTGTCTGATTAAAAAAAAAAAAAAAAAAAGCCACTTCGTAGTGGATTCTAAATATACTGCCTTCATTTTCTAGTTAATTTGATATGTCTCCATAAAAGCTGGATTACTTCTGTGCTGTTGTGCAACAATAGAAAAAATAGGGATTATGAAATATAATATTGTATTTACTAAAACATTTACTAAAATTATTACTAACGGAAAATATATATATTTGAAAACCAACACTTTTATGGTTATATAGTCACATAAAACCCTTACACTGATGCAATTATATAAAAACTATTCTTGGTAAGAAAGAAAACTGGAGTCAAAGTTGGAAACCAAACGTTTGAAAGTTAAACATCAGTTCAGAATTCCCCCTTGGGCAGTAAAAGTGGAAGTACCACAACATAATTCTTCATACCTATATCTGTTTCCTTTCTAAAAGACCCCTAAGCATTACATTGTATATATGAATTACTGCACTATAAACATCCATTCACCTTTCTGCAGGCAAGTTTGGAACTTAATGTCTCATGTTAGCTGTGGTCTGAGATAGCCACAGAAAGCTCTTCAAAAAGCTTGCCAAGTGTTTCTCAAGACTGACCTTTCTTACTGACTAAATAATTAATTGCCCCCTTGTTTCTCTAATTTCTTCACCAGGAAAGAATGCTGCCTATGTGATGAGGCAGTAGTAAATAGGGAAAATGCATCTTTGCTGGATATCACATACAACGAATTACAAATTATGTATTACTTTCTATGGTTTAGTGCTGTCGTGTATCAGGAGAAAAATATAGGGAATGTGGAAAGTGTAATGTCGTACAGCTGCTAGTAACTCCGTAAAGACAGTCTTTTGGATTAAAGACCATTTCAACTTTATTTTATACCTCTCCACATATATAATCACATTTTAATGCATTTAGTGTGAAATCCAGTCTAGCATATTTGATTGCAGAATATTGCTCAATAGAGTTAATAAAAAGTTGTGAAATCTACTTAATTTGGATATATTATACTACCAAAAAGAGTTTATTTTTTTCCTTTGTCTTTGGCTCTTTAACGGTTAAAATTAGAGAGACTGCATATGATTAGATGACAGTATATTTGACTGTGCATACAAATAGATTGAATTAATGTTTTTGTTTGTTTGTTTCAGAGATCTGTCGAATAACAGGATTGGTTGCCTAACGCCAGAAATGTTTGTTGGACTTAACAATCTTCACAAATTGTGAGTGTAAATCATTCTTGTTTTGTAAAGGAAAAATACAAACTATCACACAGATTACCTGAGAACAGTTGGTAACAGACTTTCATAATTAATAAATATGCCTTTGACTATAATCAATTGGCATCTTACAGCTGCTTTTATTTGTAATCGCATATCTATCAGAACTGCAAAAGAAATACCATTTTCACATTGAAAAGATGTTTAATATTGAACAAGGGGTTTCAGTTTCTAAGTTTTGGAAACAACTGAACGTTGAGAGCACAAATGATAATTCATAAAGTCAAGTCTCATACTGGTTAAAACAAATGATTTATGCTTTCTATACAGTATAGAAGAATTGGAATTTATAAATTAGTTTACTAAAGTGTATCACAGAAATATTTAAAGAGACACTAAGTATATAATGTATCAAGTCAATTCAGATTTAGAATCTCAGGGTAGTAGTTCCAGTTGCTTCAAAAATACTAATTTTAGCCTGTGCATTTAAGATGCTGTATTTTACACATTTTTTGTCACGATATTTTGTGATTCCTTTGTTTCCCACATGCAGCTGCACTGGAATGTGAAATAGGGAGCAACATAATCAACTTACATATCCATAAGCATGGTAGAGAGCTTGTCAGATCAATAGATTACTAAGGCTATTATAAAAGGAGAACCCAGCAAAGATAAGACTCTGATAGTGTAATGAGGTTGTTCAGTTTTAGAGAGAATCTGATGACCTGGAAAGAGGGATAAAACGTGTTGTGGCAGAGTTTGCTAATGATACTAAGTTAATCAGAGTGTTAGAGATAAGGGCAGATTATGAAGAAGGACAGAAGTAATGTACAAGACTCTGTGACTGTATGGAAATGTGGCAGATGGATTTCATGCAGTTAAATATTAAGCGATGCAAAGCAGAAAAAATTACCTGTTCTAAGGTAGCCATTCAAACAGAGAATTTTGAGACTAAAATAGATAATTCTTGAAAATGGCTGCTGAGTGTTCAGTATCATTTTCAGACTGCTCATCTCAAAAAGGTTATGAGAACTAGAAAAGATTGAAAGACAAAAAAAATGCACAAATTCTTGGACAACATACAGAAGTACTAGGAAACAGCAAGTTGGCTGAGACTTTACTGTCTGGGAAAGGGACAATTCATGGAAATGGAAGTATGACAGAAAGCGGTAAAACTGCATAACAGAGAGATGAACAGCAGTCAGGTTTTTTTGTTGTCTCTCATGATGCAGAAACTAGAGAATATTGATAGGATCTTCTGTATGGCAGATGCAATGCACAAAAGGAAGTATTTTTAAACAAAAGACAAAGTAAAGCTGTGGAAATCCTTTGTACAGGATGCTGTTAACAAGATTTTGCATAAGTTCAAGAGGGTAATGGATAAGTTTATAAAAGTAAACTGCCTTGAGGGTTGCTGAATTCATAGAAGCTATGTCTGGTTCAGGAAATTCTGGGCCTCAAATAGTTGGAGACTGAAAGAGTAAACAGAGGAAACAACATTTTTTTATACACTTCTAAATGTATCTAATGACTTAAACAGCTTAAATGGACATTTGGTCAGACCCAGGAAAGCATTCTGTTTTTATCCACGTCTGCTTTCATTCCTGAATGAGAAAAAAGTTCCTATATTGCCTTGTAATACATGGTGAATCTCATGCTTCATTTCTATCCTCCTCCTGCTCTATCCTTGGAAAAACAGGGAAATCTTTCTAGAAAAATCTGTTTGGATGACACTAGGTAAAACACTGAAAATCAGCACACTTCTCATTAATGAGAATTCTGTGCCAGATCTTCACCGAGTTGCACAAGAACGGGTGGTGGAGAAACCCTGGATAGAAAATCAATGAGCAATGTCAGGATACTCTCTTTTTTTTTTTTTTTTTTTTTAAAAAAAAAAAATTAGGATGCCAAATTGGAGAAGCCCAATTTGTCTTTTGAAGGTTGCTGTGATTTTGTTTTTGGTTTTTAACAATGCATGGTAAACATGGTTATAACTAGATCAGACGTATGCCTGCTTATTCTAGTTACCTATCCTGGTGTCAGTTAATCTCTGAACATGAAAATCTGGGGAGAATCTCACCAGGTCCTTACATGTTAACATTAATACTGTATTGGCCTATCTCACGTGGAAAGCTCTATTCTTGTACAGTCCAGTTAAATATTTACCTTGCCTTTATGTCAAGGCTAGCTTTCACGTGTAAGTAGCTATACACCCTGGACTTTCTATATTTCTTTTCTTCTGAGGCCCTAGTTTATAGTAGAAATTGGAATTAGACCTTCCTTAACTATAATTCTCAAGTGACATTCTTGTTACAACTTTCACTTTGAATAATACTATTTAATGGAATTGCTGGGACTCTGGTCTTCAAGAACACTCAGTTCTTCTTGTGCGATAGTTTTCATAATATTCACCATTTGTTTGTTTTGTCATTACAAGATTTCATTTCCACATGCTTACATTTCTGTGCCAGAATCATTATTGCAAGCATTAAATACAATCACTTTCTGCAGAATACCAGTAACATCTCAGCCTGCCTCACTTTTAGTGTGTCCAGTATATTACACTGTCTTAAAAGAAATGTGCTTATCCCCAGGTTCTCCACACTGTTATGGATGTTGTTATGTCCATGTGTCAGTGGAAAAAATGATGATTCTGGTAATTGTAGACCTGTTAGGCTGACCTCACTTGTGTTTGAGGCAGTTACTAAAAGAGCTTGGGGAGAAAGAAAAATAGAAAAAATGTTGGGAAATTGTAAATGGGAAAAAAATCAATAAATTGTTATTGAAGATGCCTCATGTAAGTATATGAAAAGATTGCTAATTTTCCAGACAGGGAAAATTATTTATTGATTTTAGTATACATCTAACATGATGCTGCATAAGCAGGAAAATATCATCAAAATTCATACTAGTATTTTCATGTGGTGGGGATTAGCACAGCAGACCTCCAGTTTCTTGGGTATTTTCCAGATCTCAGTAGTTCTGCACATCTGTATTGCTGTAGGAATTCTGGGTTTAGTCAATATTACTAGATTCACCTTCAATATTACTAGATTCACTATTTCCCATGATGGTTCTCTGACTGTCCCCAGGCCCCTTATCCAGGCTTAGCTGAGCAGTTTCAGTTTGGCTTCTTTTAGTCTTGAGATTTTTTTTTTTCCATTACTGTATGCTTTTTTACCACAAATATCTATAATTAAATTATAATCTGTATTTAACAGACAAAAATTCTAATCATGAGTTACATTCAGTAGCTACATTTTCCTCACTTTTTGCTTCTGAGCCATCTTTGTTTTTGAAGTGCCTTTTGCACGTTTTATTGTATGTTCTAAGTTTAACCTGATTTTTGGTAATTCTCATTGTTCATCTATGCTTTCTGGCTTTGGAGATGGGACTTTTTGCTAGTATTTTCCATTTTATTATGTACTCTGTGTTTGATTCATCTTTTAATCTTAGATTTTAATCTTTAAATACAGTTACTGCTTTATTTAGTCTTTCCTTTTTTTTTTTTTTTTTAATTGTCTTTCTACTATTGGCTTAATGAAATCAGGGTATCCTACACTGAAGTTCATGGACATACCTAGTTACTGGATTATTACTATATATTTTTTTGTTATTATTCCAAAGCATGCTTGGAAATCAGAAGGTCCAGTGATTATTTTATGAAGAAATACAACTGCAGTCGCATTCAAGAGTAACTGTTTCCTACCATTCATATGATTATTTACTCTTTAACCTATATCTCAGAAATCTCATGTAATGACACATTTGTGTTCATAATTACTGGGGTAGGGTATCTCAATTTTGCCTGTTGTGGAAGAAGTGGTGGTTGTTCAGTGACTGCAGACTGATGCCACCTGGTTGTTTTCTAACACTTTCTAGGTGTCTTACCCCTTGGAAGCTCATACACAAAATGTCCTACAATCAAACCTTTAACAACATATTTAAAAGACAATAATTCACATTTCCATTGCAGCTGACACCTCTGAATTTTGAGTAGTTTATTAGTAGTTTCAACAGTAAGAAAGAGCAATTCTCTGAGAGGGCTGTGGGGCAGCCTTTGGCATAACATCACTGTAGGTAACTGTAGTAAGGGAAAGATGGCAAGGTCTTTAGCTAGTAGTGGGTTTTAAAGCCATCAAATAAACTTTATATTACTGAAGCAGTAGTGTGGAGAATACATGTGCTTTGATTAATGCAGATGTTCATTTTGGGAAAGATGCAGAGCTCTCCTGCATTACCTTAGTGAGATGAAGTACAAAAGGATCTTTGCAGGCTGCTATCAAAGCCAGTAGGGAGAGCCGTGAGTCCACTGGAAACAGAACAGAACATAAATCTTAATGCAGCTTCTGTGAGGTGCAGAGATGAGGTTTTCCCTACCCTGTTTACAAACACAAATATCAGATAACCAAAAAAAAAAAATAAAATTGATCTTGGCCTTATGAAATGTAAGTCTGATTCAGTTTTTAAGATGTTTGGTGCAAGATGAGCTCTGATTTTTAATCAAATGATGTAATGCTTATCCCTTACACAGTAGGATGAGGGAATGTCTAAATGCTTCTTGGAAATGAAGGGCAGGAAGTGCCTGAGTTTTCAGGGATGCTTCAAAGGCCCTTCACAGAGGTTAAGTAAGGGCTGGCTGCTTTTGAGCACTCTGTTACAGAATGGAAAAAATGGTTTGCATTAAAAATAATAATCACTAATAATATTCCTTAGCATTGATTTCAAAGCATGCACATATATGGACTCCACAAAAAAAATCTAAACCTCTAATTATGCCTGTAGAAAACACATTTTTCACTCAATTTGCAATTATAGCTTACATATCTGTTTATGCTTAATTTAAATATCTGGAAATGGGAAACAGTGGGGCGGGCTATACTCAAGCTCCTTTTGGTTAGCCTGCCAAATTTTTAGCTCTTCACCTTCTGAGATGCTGCAGCCCTAAGCCTGTTTCAGCAGGCAGTTACTGCTGAATCTTCCTTCTGCAAGTCTGCGACAGGCCTTCCTCCTCACTTGCAACTGTTTGATTAAAGCACATCTGATTTATACTTCACCCTGCCTCTGAATCATCAACAGCAGTTAGCTTTATGATAATATTATGCTGTAAATTCCCTGGTGACTTTGTTGCTGTCATTGAACAACGAATCATATTGTACAGTGCCAGAGGTAAAGCACAAAGCGAGTGATGTAGTGAGTCAAATTGACCCTGCTTTAGCAACCCCAAGGAAATATCAGGTGGAACCCACTCTCTCTGTACTTCGCTTATTGTTTTTTTGCCCTTCCTATCCCCAGCTTTTCCCACAGGAGGTGAATGTGTCACCATTACCTTCAGCTTTTGCTTTTTAATGCTGCTCATAACAGTGGAATGTACTTCATACCCTCCTGCTTTCACTGGTGTTCTCCCTCAAAACTGTCCTTTATGACACGCAACTCTCTTTGACTGTTTCACGCTATCTGTCATTTATATTAAAGCTTTTGGCAAAAGTGTTCTGTTTATTTCTGTGAAAGCGTAAGACTATCTAGTATATAAAAAATAAGTCTAAGACCTTGGCCATTAGAGTAAAATGTTTTACTTGTGATATAACGGAGAGCACACATTTCTGTTAATGGAATTAGCTAATGGCATAGTAAGTGCTATCAAACTTGGAGTGCATTAATTTGTTAGATTTGAAATGTTTGCAAACTAGGTGACATGGTTTTAGAACAAATGTCCTTTTAAATCAAGCTAGGCTGGCTTTTCAAGATACCTGAATGCTGGAATTTGACAACACTTCAGGTTGGATGTGTTGTCATACAGGATGTGATTGGCAGGTGAATAACATAACCAGGCATTTAAACTTAAAAATACAATGATATAATTTTTTATTACAGTTTTACTTGCTGCTAATATTAATGCACATTCATGTATATATAGAGGAGTATAACTTGATTGAAATGTAAAGATATAAAATATTTGCTATCATGTTTCAGTTTAGAAAGATAAACCTGCCCTGACAGTCAGTAGCTCTCCAAAAGAGGTGGGACAACCCTATTTCTTTGGCAAAATGGGCTAGGGGAAGAGGAAAAAATGAGATGGTATAGTTTTGTATCTTCCTCTGGGTCTCCAATCTATGTGTATAGCCAGTCTTTTATATTGTAATTATGCATTTCTTGGAGATAGGAATGTGGTTTTTTTCTGAGTAATACAGCACGATGAACATGGTCTTAGTTTGCTAATTAGCAGTAGTTATTATGGAAACTTCAAAACACCTCTTAGGCAGAAGAATGTGAAGGAATATGAAAAAAAACCTTGCTGCCTTTGTGCTGGCTTGAGCTCTTGGGAGCTCAATTCCTCTAACGTTGATAAAACCTCTAAAGAGGTAGGTATTTCTTTGTCACAATGGAAAAGAAGCAAAAATTTCTAAGTGCAACATAAACCAGGAATTTTTAGTTTAACACTGCCACATCAGCTGTGCAGATGACCCGCAAGTTTCCTTAGTTCCTAATATATTGACCAGGGATAAAGCATCCTTTGGGCCAAACAGTATTACCAGTCTTCAAGCTGGGTGTTCTATGTAGTTTACAATGAGATTCTGGGATACTTATTTAAGGGAAAATTTGAGATTTGCATCAAACTGCAGGATTAGCAAGCTTGCTGGTACAGCAATGCAGTTATGTATTGCTATGCAAATTTATGCTATGTAAAATTAAACTGCAAATATTGAGCTTAAAACATTTGGTAATCAAGAGCAAAGATAGTAAACTACTTAGAATGGAAATGTTCTTAAGAATTTAAGATTGGGAAAAATAAGTTTTTGTCAAGTCCTTTGTAATAAATTTGATTTGTGTAGTTACTTTGAAAACTTGTTATTTGAAGGAATTGCTTGAATTCTTCCCATGATCATTAAATTAAGACATGACTTTGGTTTCTATATCCTGATGATATAGAAGGAACGTTCTGCAGTTGCTGTAAAAATATAACAGAGGTCTAGCTGTCTAGTCATTTGAATATTTCAATTTAAATTCTAGAGTATATTATTATTGCTAAATGTGTACAGATATTCCTATTTATTAAATTGACTAAACTGTATGCATACATGCTGTGAAAATAAAAGTAGTAGAAGTATATGATTCGATTTTAATGTTTTTGTCATTTGTGAAAAACTAATATATAAATATATAAATTCAAGTGTTTTTATTGTTATTAAAAATGCATAATTGTTTAAGCAGCATTGAGAAACTTGTACTCTACAGCAACTTTATTTTATTTGTCACAGCTGACTAATTTTTTTTATTTATTTTAGAAATTTATCAGGAAATATTTTTTCAAGTCTCATGAATGGACTTTTTTCTGAGTTGCTAGCTCTGAAAGCACTGTAAGTATGCCTTAGTTTCTAAAATCGCAAATGTTTAAAAAGAACCTTGGAATAAACAGGGCAGAGCTTGATAGGATTTTGAATAAGATTATTTCTGTTTATATACTACTAATTTAAAAGAAATTATTTTTCTAATCTGTGACTTTTATTCTTTTAAGTATTTCATTTCATCTTGCATTTTTATGTTTTGGCAACCATAATCTTAATCAGTCACAAATGGATTTTGCAAGCAAATGTGTACATCTTAGAATTATAAAGCACTTATTTGTTGCATAATGCACATGAAATATTAGTATTTTGCTAGATTAACCATTAGCATGTTCACCTAAGACTGCACTCCAAGAGTCTTTGTGGGCACCTATCTTGGGACAGAGTGGGAGAAGGCTTGGCCTTCAATTAGAGTAACAGTTTCCACTTCTCTATTTTGCATATCGGAGATTTAAAAATGTAATTAAAAATAAAAATTTAAAAATGTGGTCTCAGAAATACAAAGGAGTTTCTAATAAGCAAAAAGATGTTGTGGTTTGACTTTCTATAGAAGCATTTACTTAATTTCAATTTATTAGTAAATTTCAATTATTAGTAAATAATTAGTAAATAAATTGAAATTTTTCTGTAAGCAAAAACTGTATTTTAGCGTAGTATCTTGGAACTCATCAGCAGTGGTAGACTGTGTGCTACTTATTTCTCCCACGGTATCTTATAATTAGTTATATTTCTGTCTGTAATTAGTTGTCTTTAAACTGCTTGAATCTTACATAAGAAAATGTGTTTATCAGGAAAGCCCGTGTACCAATTGTGATCTTTGTTTGTCTTTCTAGGCATTTCAATACTGATTCACTCATTTGTGACTGCAATCTGAAATGGGTCTTGCAATGGGCCAGAAATGCTTCCGTTCGAATAGCAGAGGAGACCGTTTGTGCTTACCCCAGTGCTTTGCAAGGCCTCTCCTTCCGTAACCTGAAAGACGACCAGCTGGTTTGTGGTGAGCTAGGCTTTCATTCAACATTACAGGTGGAAGTGAATTGTCAGAGAAAAGCGTTAAGAGAAATGATGCCAAACAAAATGTATTAATAAGTCTGTCTTACAAGCCCAAGAAATCTAGGTAGGCTGCACGGAGAATATATTTGGTTGAAAGAGGAGAAAAGGCAGCTATCTAGTTTGCTATACAACAGAATATATCTATTGCACTGCTGTCCTGTCTGTATAATGTGTAATTATGATCTGAAGTATTTATCCATGATGGTAGCTCTGTGATGCATACTATGTGAAACCATGCAGTTCTAGAGGGATATAGAGAAAGTTCCTTTTAAGATATATGTCCGAGAGTGTGACCTAAATGTCTAATTGCATTATTTTGTTTCTCTTTTTTATAAATCTGTATATACGACATACCACTGTGTCTTGGGATGAATAGAATTTTTATAGTGGGCTTTGGTTAGGCAATTGCTTTCTTTGAAAATCTATAAATGAAATAGCTTTTTTTGAGAAATGAATGATCCAGTGACTGAATTTGTAAGAAGACTCAGATACCTATCTGGAGAGAAATGAATAAGCTCTTTTTTGGGAGAGAAGGGAGCGAAATTTTCAGTAGCTGGCATGCGTAAACTTTTGAAAATCTCTCCATTATATTGAGAGCAATACCTCTCAATTACCAGGTCACCATTTTATAGAGACCTAGTACTGCCACCTTCAGAGATATCCATTTTCCAGTAGGACAGATGAGAAAAGTTCTCTTTCTTAAATTGCTGGAGAATTCACAAGAATCACTTAAGGACTACAAAGTGATATTTCTAGGTTGTCAGTGAATATGAGCAATATCTGCAAATTTAAGAGAGGAAATGCAACTGCAATTTCTCGGAACGTCATACTTTAATTCATAGAAGTGCTCCTTACAGCACCTCTGATGCAGCATTGATAATATCTATCTTGCTCTATCTGTATATAATGTCCACAGAACACTTGACAAGGTTTGCAATGACTTACAGTAACTTGACACTGCTTTTAATATCCGCAGAGAGCTTCACAATGATTATATTTGCTGTGTGCTCCCCCAGCCCTGTGATGTCTGCCAGGTGCCTCATGCTGTTTGTAATATCTGTTGTCTAGCTCATGGTGCCCACAAGATTTTGTGATTCTGTTTTTCAGTAACTGGATTTGAATTTACTTTTATTAAAAGGGTGTCTGGCAGCAAGAAAGTAGCAACTACTAAGAATTTTTGAGTGATGTGTTCTTGAAATACACATGGACGTAATCAAATTAAACAAATCTTAAAATATAAAGTGGTAGTTTAAACATCAAAAACACCTGAATATGACAGGTGCCTTATAGAGGCTAGGAGCAGTCAGGAGGTATCACAAAATTAGGAAATAAGGGAGGGAGAAAAATGAAAGCAGAAGAGAAATGGCAGGGAAGTTAGAGAATGGATTGAAAAGTCAAAGTATGTGAAAAGAGATGAAGAGGAAAATAGTCAGTCAAAGAGTTGAATTGCTATAGCAGACAGTTTGCCATGAACTTTTTAGAGTTATTCTTTATTTTGATACAGTCAAAATTCATCCTGGAAATTTCTACCTGGCAAATCTTTCTCATGGATCTAGCATTGAAAACAGTTGGAAACCTGCTTTGGGGATTTGCATAAAAATTAATTTAAGTAACTGAATAGTTCTGGACTTCACAAGAACCTGCTTGCCTATTTCATCAACCGCTTATAAGAGCTGCTTAAATCTTCCTTACTGTAAATCTCCAATTCTCAGAAATGTTAAGCTACAAAGCAATTTCAGACAACGTTGGAAATAAGGCTGAAAAGTAGTTTGATTAAAAAACTGGTATTGCAGTCTTATGCCTTAATTACGAAGGACTTCAGAGAGTTCTTCCTAGCAGTGTGGATAGAATACCCTTATGAAAAGTGGTTGTGAAATTGGAATCATGCAGTGCCTTGTTACTGTTTCGCCATGACTCCAGCACTGACTCTCTCAAATTACGGGAGGAAAATTGCATTTCCCTGAACATGGTCCTATAGATTCCACTTGAGGTCTAAGAGCAGTCTGAGATTTTCTCTTGCATATGTCAGCACCAGAGAGAGATTTTCCTGGACAACTGCTTCACTCAGTAAAGAATCATATGAATTTTTCTCTTAATAGGATTACAAATGATTGCTCTTAACATTGAGATTGTTATTTATGTTGATGGATGACATATTAGATTTAGTTCCTCATTCTCAAACCAATGTTAATGCTATTGAGCTAACTGCACTAAGTAATAAAAGTCCATTTGTTCTGCAAATTACAATTGGCCACTAACTCTAATGAAGCCTTTTGCTGCTGAGAAATGTTGACTCATCAAAACAGATGATGTTTGTGGGAAAGAGTTGACTTCCCTTTGTCTCCCAATTAGATCTGATTTAAAGTTTAGAAAATAACTGACGTAGAATATATCAATAAACTTTGAGTTAAAGGATTAGCCTCAAAGTGATGTAAATATTTACTGAGTTATTCTATAAAACTGATGCTGTCTTGTTCTAAGTACAAAATTTGGTCTCTTGCCAAAATTGTTATAGTATTCTTAGACTTTGATATAATTTCTTTCCACTTTGTGACAAAGAATTCTTAATTCTCATACAGGTCTTCTACAAATTAAAGTTATTCCTTTTTGCATATAGATTTTCTCTATAGATAGTGTTAATAATTAATTCTAACAGTGCTATCTCTATGAATATTTTATTCAGAAGTAAGAAAACAGGAAATATTGTTAAGAAATATAATTTCTAGACTTGTCTTAAAGTCTTTTGGTTGTACCCTGCTGGTCAGATTTTTGGCTGTAGTCCCTTACTTGATCTAGTAAGTAAGCAGTAAGTGTAAAATCTAGTAAGTAAGATCTTACAGGTCTTACAAGTCTTATAAGACTTTTGTCCTGAATCTTGAACACGAGAGTTGAGCCATCCTTGACCAGAGAACCTTTAAGAGATTTTATCACTTTTTCTTTGTAAGGAAGGTTGTGATTGTGAGGAGTCCTTGAACTCTCAATTCTCCTTTCTCTCTCTCTTGCCCAAAGAATGGACAATTGATGTTAACACATGAAACTCAAGTCCCCGAACATTTAATATGTTTATTGGAGAAAGAGGCATCTCTTCAATACATGAAGTAAACTACTTTTTTTTTTTTTTTTTTCCCTGAGGAATGTGTATATAACTGTTTGTTGCATTGTACTGGATGTGAGTTAGATGTTGAACTGCTTTAACATAGGATTGTAGGGTAACATTTGAGAGAAGATTACAGAGAGAAGACAATACAGCTTTATCTGTTCTCTTATACCATGCACATCTCTGAAAAAACTGTAACAGGGTAGTGATTTTAACCAACAAGGGAAAAAGGAGCCACTTAGCAGAGCTGGTGTTAATACGTGTCATTCTTTATATCCTCCTCAGTCAAATTATTTCCAGAGCAGAGAAACAAAAATAAGCTCAAATGTTAGATCCATTCTGTTTTCAACTGCAATCTCAGTGAAAATATAGCCGAAATAGAACTTGCCAAGCACAGAAGGATGGCAGTTAAAATACTGCAGAATGACTCACTCCTTTATTGCCATGGCTGAGATGGGACCTATGTTTCTGGAGTGTCTTATCTACCTTAATGGTAGGTAGGGTGGCATTTCACAGATCCGGGACATCTATTTCAGAAGCTCAGAGTATCCAGCAACTGTTATTGAACTCTACTGGTGCTTTGGGTGCTCCATGTTTATGAAAATCAACCGTATTGTGCTTCACCTGGCTCCGGAGGGGCTGCTAAAGAAGGTTATTTTGACAGTATGTATTATGACAAAATGTGTATTTTGTTTACGGTAGTACACCCTTTGGTTGCGATGAATATCATTGTAACTGTTTACATCAAACCTGTAAAGAGAAGTTGTTTGAGTTGTTTATATTCATATCTTTAATAGCCAACGGGGACTTCGACTACTAATAGCAGAGAATGAGTATACAAAATGCAGAATTGCAGTCTTATCTGTGTAAGATCTGTATGGTTACATTTCCAGCATGCCTTAGAGTACTGTCTACAGAGAAAAGTGTTAACACTGAAGAAGAGTAAAAATCCATCTTACTGAAAATAGAGGTGAGAAACAGTGGAAAAGAATATCTACAAGTTATGAGCGAGTCTCCAAAAGTGTTTGAATTATTACTTAGTCTCTGAATCGTGTAAGCTGCTCTAGTTCTAAGTATCAGTTCCTAAGTGAAAATAGCATGTTGTATCTCATAAAATAATATTGAAATGCACTTTTTGGACATAATGGATTTAGGAGAGACACTCCTACGGGAAGGATACTACTCAAAGGGATAGATCTTTGCTGACTTCTGTATTACAGAATACAATTCATTTAATGTTTCATAGCAAACATAAATAAAATATTGGGGGGTTGGGTATATTTGTTAGCAAATTGTTTGTACTTATCCAGCAGCTTGTCTCTTGTAGTTTGCCTCTCTTCTCTGAGCATCACAAAGATTTATCCTCTAAAGAGGAAAGTCATGTGAGAAGCAAATGCTTTCTGCTCTTATACTCTGTGCTTGCATTGAAGCTGACTCAAAACAAAAAGAAAAGCACCTTACATCCTTTATCTATTCCTTTGACATTTGTTTTTAAAGAATTCTTGAGAATTTTAAAACTTGTTTTTTTTACCTAGAAAGGTATGAAGTTGTTCCATCCTTACCTCTTATCACAAATTCTACTGTATTTCTCATTCTTGACTATCAGCAGCTTATTAAGACACATTTCTCTTGGGTCATATTTAGGTGCATAGCCCTTTTTCGCATGAAATGCTTTTGGCAGTCTTACCTAAAATACTATGAAAAACTGAAGATTCATGACATTTTACATCATTTACCACTAGGCAGAAAAAAAAAAAAACAAAAAGAACATTTTTCCTTTTTAAATTTAAATATACTTCCTTTTTTGATATAGATCCTTTCCTTGAAATATTTTCTTAAAATAGAAG